ATTATTAAAAAATTTAAGCCACTTTTTTATTATGACATATACGTCAAATGTCGCAAAGAGCACAGAATAAAGTTACACATTTAACGTAAATGTAATATTAAACTTTATAAATAAGTAAGATTTTTTTTTTATAAAATTCGACAAATTGATCGCGTTTATTTTATTCTTACCTATAGGCATCGGGTATTGATTAGAATTCGAGAAATGATAATTGTAACTTTTTTTATTAGAGTGGAGTAGCTTATACTCTTTCAAATACTCAATTTCTCTGAATGGAACAATAGCATGAGGGTATTGAAATTTCTCCGTGTGAAACGCTATCAGGGGGGGTATTGAAACTTCCCTTCGACGCTTCGCCGCGTTGTAGAATCTCGATATGGTATCAGTATGGAGGAGCACGGTGCAAGAAAGGAATAGAGCGAAGTAGTAGTATTCTCTTTGCCGCGACGTAATTTAGATTCCGCCGCGCAAACCGGTAGGATTTTATTGTTTTACCACGTCGCTCAGCGGAAGCGAGAGACGATATCAGGCTTCGGAAACGTCGGTCATTGCGCGGCGAGTAGCCTTCTCTTTGCAAGATGGGATCGCGTATCGCAAGAAGGGATCTAGATAAAAAAGCGATCCGCCGCTTACATTGAGAAATGCAATTGCAATTTGTCCGCACAATATGGGGGTATCAATTCTTCATAAGGGTGGACCGATATTTTCTCACTCTATCACGATCTTCGACAGGACGAACGTGACACCGTTCAACCGCGGGTCTATCTGCGAATCGAATTTAGATTCTTCGGAAATACACGCTTCTGTCACTCACCACTCGGCTCGCACATGGCCCAGCGTGGCCAAAATTAGATCGGAATCGTCAGGGGAATGGAATTCTTTCCCGATTAGATTTTCCCGGCTACTTTCGCCAGTGATTCTCCAGCGACGTTATTTCGCGGTAAAAAAGAATCAACGCTACACTGTTCCATAGTAACTGTACAGTAATAATAAGTTTAACTGTGCTGAAATTTAATCTGTCTTCCAAGTGCAGCCAAGTTAACTTGACTTTTATAATGAGAAACTCTTTACATCGTAAGGAAAATTTAAAAGGCGTAATGAGAAACGCTTGTCCCTCAGTTAATGAAAGTATGTAGAGATGATAATTTAAAGTTGTATAAAGTTTTAAATAATATTAATAACTTGATATATTTGGACTTGATACATATATAAACATGTATAAACTTGATATATATATATGTATATATTACATTTTATTAATTATAATTAAGACGAAGATATTTTACAAAAGTTGAATTTACCTGAAACGTTAATTTTACCTAATCTAATTTCGTGAAATTGCTTTCGCGAATGACACATAATTGATAATCGTTCAACAAACAAATTTCGACGGCGACCTTTTCAGAGATTCGATGTCTTCCGGGGAAACTCGCTGTTAAAATCGATAACCCAGCTGGTGGAACGATATAACGAGCGAAGCGTGTAATACGGTCCATCGAGTTTCATCCTTGTGTTTTAACAATCTCCTAATTTATACGCCTGGATTCCCCATCATGAGCTTAACAACACGGAGACCCTTATGAGAAATCATCTCCCTCGATTCTCCCTCCCCCCCCCTCCTCCCTCCCCGATACTCGTTAATTTTATCTCTTACATATACAAGTTACATATACAAGTTTTGTTTCGTGCGTTAATAAAACGCAATAATAACGCAGCATCTATTTTTGAGAAAATATATAAAATCGATTTGCGCAATGCATCATTTTATTATTATTATTATTATTATTATTATTATTATTTTATTATTTTATGCGGTATTTAACATCGTTAATTTTAGATACATTTTCTTTCATTTGTTTCTTTATTCTCGAACAATGAAATATACGGTGTAAGAATAAAGAGAATCGATAGTCTATTACATGGAAATGACGTAACGATTTGCGAATACAAACGCGTGTTTCTATGAAGTTTATGAATTATCAAAGTGTTTAAATTTTTTTTTTTTTTTTTTAAAGAAAACAGTGCTTTATAATAAACGTTCAAATCGTTGATTTAATAATAAAAATAGAAATATAAATTGTCATGTTTTTATTTGGATATAGAATAAATGTCAGAAGTTAAAGCTAATTGCCGTACATCGCTATATCATTTTTCCTGATAGTCTTCTTATCCGAGATTTATCGTAATACAATGCTAAACTTAATACCGTTCTATTTTTCCTTTATACTCATCTTTTGTTATTTTTACTCATAGCTCTCTTCTCGTTATTTTTACACGATATGGTCCGAGATGACTTGTATTCTCAAATAACGACATAAATATCTCTATCCTCTCTCCTTGTCTCTTCCTTTGTGCGAAGCTGCCTCTCTCCCTCTCTCACGTATTCGTTGGATGAACAATGTATAGAAAGGGAAGGACGCAAGGGGGCTATATAAGTCCGGAAAGGGTCCCATCTCCCGAAGGGTAATTCCGAAGGGCCATGCCAGTTTGAATAATGACGCCCTCATTGGGTTATCAGTGGCTCTCAACCGCATTAAAACTTCTCCATTTTCTCTACGCACAAATGAAGA